TTTATGATAAACATATTGGCGTCACGGGTAAGTGAAAGATATAGGTCACCATTTACTCGGTACTCTTGTTGGGTACTCATAATTTTGGGGTGATAATAAATTTATTCGCGTTTCGATCAAATTGATTTACAACTTTGTGTTTATAAAAAATTTATTTGTCTCATTCATGAAGCTATGGACGGAACCCTTTAATCACATCCAAGTGCCTGCACCCTCCTCGATCTCCTCCATAGAATATTCATTCTTGAAAAACTTAAACACATCTTCTAAATGTATTCAGAATAATCGTGAGGATGAGGATTCTTTTTCGGCAGAGGCGGTTATATCAAGACTCAAATCAGAAATTTCCATGTTTTCAAAAGGCAATGCTGCTTTGAAACACGCGGAACCTCCAGTCCTTCCAACAACGACATATTATTTGGATTGGTTTATAAGCAGGGATCAATATTCCCAGAGATCTCAATTCACATCTGGAGATGCAAGTGACATCTTACGGAACTACACAAGCTCTATGATTCATTCTGACGCAATAAAACAAGTCCCCATTCTTATTGACTACCTGATAACCCTGATTGAGACATCAAGAAAAAAAATTAATGTTCTAGATGCCACATTACGCGAACTGATATTGCCGGCCGGTCATCCCCAGGATACAAGTCAGGAAGAAAAGTCAGATTCAATCATCATGGCGCATCAGCTAATCTCACTAATTGACAGGGAGGAAAAATTGATTGACAAATATGGCCTGCTGCGGTCCAAGCTTGTCGACATTGACAAGCTAAACGAGAAGCTACTTCGGAAGCTTTGGAGATACAGAGTCAAGACAGAACGATCTCGACCTTTTCATCCTTCATAACTCTATATTTCCTGATATGGGCCTTGTAGTTTAAAGCTGAATATAATGAGATACAATAAATTCTATTTCTCAGCAGCCCATGTATTTCCTATAACTCTCCTATATGCGCAGCCCGAAATAAACCCCAAATTTTGATCCTTAAATTCCATTTTAATTTTCAATTTCCTATGGGCGCCTATATTGATAAAGCAGTGCTTGCTGCCAAAAAGCTCTTTGTTGTGACTAGGCATCGAAGCTATGTGGGACTTCCAAAAGATATCAAAGATGCTTGTGTGGTGTTGGGATTGAAGCATACCCACCATTCATCACTCCTAATTCCCTCTCCATATGTTGTTGGCAACTTGGCAAAAATCAGAAATCTCATCCGGATTGAATATATTGACAAAGGTCCTTTTCCAAAAGAGACATTGCGGTTTTGGATGAATGGACTTGGCCAAAGAGCTCCTTTGGGCTACTACATTGAAACTAAGGG